CCTACCTCAGAGGTCCTGTCTCTCCACCTGACAAGTTGACACCATAGTTCAGCATTCTGGCAAGCCTTATGCATTGAAACTAGAGAGTTAAGGTATTTTGAAATTCTGTGACATCATCCTTCACTATCCTAAATGCTTGTTCAGAAGTGACGAATCCAGCAGTCACTAAATAAACATTTAGTGATATCGATGGTCTCAGTTCTCTGCCATGACTTATTTTTCCAGTGGCAACACTATGGTTCATATCGATTTGAGCTTGATCTCAGCACCTTTCATCTCTTTTGCCAGTATCCAGCTTTACCCCACCCCTCTTTTCCCTTAGGCCTTGGGGTGGACTCAGTCATTACTTAGGTGTATCCCAGGTCTTATTTTTAAAATTCTTGTCTAACCCTGGAGATCCCAGTTGTCTTTCTGATATTTTTCTTAGTTCAGCCTATGTCTCTTAAAATGTGATTATATTTCACATGATTCTCATATTTCCACTTAAACTGTCCTCTCTTTTTATGATTACTTATCTAGTATTTCCACTCCCTAAATGCTCTTTCATATTGTATCTCATTCTGCTATCCAATTCTCATTTCAAAACCAGAGCATCTCAAAATCCCAAACCTATTTCTTTTATGGCATATTTTTTGGCTCCTCTTCCTGAATCCAATCTAAGTTTCCCTTTAGCTTGGACTATCTTAGTCTTTTGCCTTTCTCAGGCCAGCATTTTCATTTTTCTGAGGCTACTATGGATTTCTCCTGCCAAAATCATAACCTTCTTCTCTCACATTAAGAATAACATAAAAGAAAAAAAGTGAGGGATATACTTGTAGTCAGAAAACCTGGGTTCAAATACCAGCTATTATTTCCTGATAGCACATAATCCTTTCTGAGCTTTAGACATTGTAGCTAAGAGGATGGAGGTGGGGAGATCACTTATTTCTTTTTTTCAGTCTAACATCTTGCGAAAAAGTCCCAGGTGGATGTCCCTCTAAGCAAGGCCAAGGGAAATAGAAACCCAACAACTCAAGGAAAGGTTTGCCTGCACTCTTTTTTATTTTTTTACAACTAACCAAACCTCTTTGTCCCCTGGGCCTGCTAAGTCATCTTGTGTCTTGGAAAGCCAGGGCTCTGAGATCATCTAGGTCAATCCTCTTATTTTATAAATGAGGAAATATGTTAAATGACTCCCCCAAGGCCATACAGAAGTAAATGGCTGCACAAGAATTTTAACCCAAGTCTTCTGACTCCAAATCCAATGTACATATGACTCATCCTTCACAGGCTTCTAATCCACTGATCACCTTGAATACCACCATGGTCAATCATAGTTTCATAAAGGACAAAGAAAAATGAAATAAAAATATTGTGTTCTAGAATTTCAAAAACAGTACTTCTGAAAGATCTTTTAGGTCAGCAATTCCTAAATATCAATTTTAAGACATTTCCTTCAGATATTCTATTATTTTCTCAAGGAATGTGGTGAAATTTTCTAAACTAAAATTATTTCAATTAGTTTTAAATTCACTCTATGTCTTTAAGTAACTTATGAGATCTTGACCCCTTTTTCTGATGGAGCAAGGGAGTCTAAAATCAAGCATAATAGGTAGGTTGTCAAATCCAAAATTTTTAGTTATCAGCTTTCTAACTTCTTATTTATGTAGAGACTTAAGGTCAGGAAGAATTGAGTTCAAACCCTACTGCAGACACTTGCTAGCTGTGTGACTCTAGGCAAGTCACTTAACCGCTGTCTACCTCCATTTCCTCATCCCTAAAAATGGAATAATAATAATAAGCACCTGCCTCCCGGGGTTGTGAGGATGAAATGAGATAATTTGCAAAATGTTTTGCAAAGCTCAAATAAATGTTAGCTATCATGTGTGATTCCTGCAGCATTTTTTACCTCACTGACAATACTTCTTTTTTTCTTCTGTTTTCTCCACAACCCAATTCATAAAAACCTAGGACTGGAAAGGAAATTGTCTGAATGAGGTCTCTGCCATTAAATAGTACTACATCCTAGACAAATGGCAGTTTTCACAATCAGATGAAGCTTTATGTGGAAACTTTTAGAAATCAGATCTCTTCTGGGATAACTCTATGGAGTTGAGAGTTGGAGAAAGGTTTTCTGTCCCTTCGGTTTCCTTCTGCTGTGGCTAGTATATTGTGAGGTTTGGGTTTTGTATCGTTTTGGAGGCAATCGGGGTTAATTGACATGTCCAGGGTCACACAACTAATAAGTGTCAGAAGGTTGAATTTGAACTCAGGTCCTCCTGACTCCAGGGCCAGCACTTTAATCACTGTGCCACCTAGCTGCTCCCCATTGTGTTTTCTTAATCATTGTAAACTCCCTCTTCCAAATAAAGCCCTTCTTAATTCATGTCATTTAAACTTTGTTTCATTTTTCAGCTTTAAGAAAAAAAAATGTTACTTCAGTTCCCTCAGATAACTATGTACCTTTTACCATCACCACCCCACCTCCTCCCCTTTGTAGAATTATTTGAAACATAACCACTTCTATATTTGGTGTTGTGCAGGGATCAGATGTTTAGTGAACAGATTTTGGTCACAAAATATTTGAATTCATCACCCAACCTGCCAAGAGATTTGGCCTTTAGAACGACTGAACGAAATGCAAATTTTGGACATTTTCTAAGACTCAGTTGAGGGAGCAGGGTTTGGAACACTGGATTTTTTAGTCAGAAACTGTGGGTTCAAATCCTACCTTTTTGATAGGTACTTTGTGATCTTGGGGAAGTTGATTAGTCTCTGTGAGCCACAGCTCACAAAGCTGTAACGTTAGGGAGCTGGACTGGATGGCCTCAGAGTTCCCTTCCATTTCTAAATCAATGTTTTCATGACTCAAACTCAGACATCTGAATCAAGGTCCAATAAAAACCTAGAGTCTGTGTATTCTGGACATACCTCAACAATAACCATTCTCACACTATTATGACACTTTTTTTCTAGCCCAATTGGGCTCTGAATATAGAGATGAGTAATAATGAGGAAACAAGACAAATGATTCATTTGTAAACCTGCAAATTTCAGTTTTAGCTTGGTTTTAGAAAAAAAAATTCAAGCATATTGTTATTTTCTTTTTATTTTATTAGCTTATTAATTTATTATTTATATATTTTTATTCTTCATTCTTTATTACTTTATTAGTAATCAATCTCTTCTTGATTTTATCTTTTATTATTTTAGTTTCTTTGATTTTCTCTCATGGTACACATACGAACTACAAAAACAATTGTCCAAGCACAAAATCATAGCCTTCCTCCACCCCTGAAAAAATATTTGTCCCCTTATGAGTGCCTAGAGCTGAACCTTTGCTCTTTTTCTTCTTGAAGCATTTGATTATAATGTTAATATCATAGACCAGAATAAAAAACACATCATGATCCTTTCTTTGAAGAGATCCACAGGAGAGCTATTCATGGTGACCATCTTGCCCACTCACTCCACTCTCTTTGATGTCACTGATGATGAGGTAACCATGTTCACCAGCACCTATACTTTCATTGGTTCTCATCTACTTCCACCTTCTCCTCTTAAATGATGGTGATCCCTGCACTTTCTCACCTTTATCTTGAATGTCGTGTCCCCCCTCATCTCTCTTTTCCCTTTAATGTACAAAAGACCAGATCAATCCTGTCTCTGAGAACTTAAATCAGAACTCCTTTCACCCTCACGTTACTGCCTTGTTTCCCCTTCCTTCCATCACCAAGTTCCTAAAATCTGCTTATACATTTGAATTCCCTTTATAGTAACATAAAGGCAGCTGAATGGCGCAGTGGCTAGAACACTGTCCCTGGCATCAGGAAGGCATGAGTTTAATATGACCTCACACACTTATTAGTTGTATAACACCGGGCAAGTCGCTTAATCTCTGCTTCAGTTTCCTCAACTATAAAATGGGGATAATTATAGTAACTACCTCATAGGATTGTTGTGAGGAACAAATAAGATACTAATTGCAAAACATTTAGCAGCGCAGTGCCTGGCACATATTAGGTGCTACATCAATTCTTATTCCCTTCTCCTCCTCCTTTGTCCTCAGTAGCAATCATTTATTGGCAGAGAAGGCACTGTGGTATAAATGGATAGAGGGCCAACCTCAGTTCAAGCCCTGCCTCTGACATTAACTAGTGGCCTATGCAGGGGCAAATCATTTAATCTTGGTGCTCCAGGCCAATCTCTAATATATATGTACATACATATATATGTGTGTGTGTGTGTGTGTGTGTGTGTGTATGTGTATATGTGTGTATATATATATATACACATACACACACACATATATGTATGTATGTGTGTGTATATATATATATATATATATATATATATATATATATATATATATATGTAAAATATGAATTGTCATCTGCATCAGTGCTGGAAATTTCCACACAATCAGTATTTCTCACATTGATGAAATCATAGATCTAGATTTTTTTTAAATCACCTGTAAAGTATATTCTTGATTATATTTCCCTGTTGATAAATAATGATACTGAGTCAAAAGAAACCCAGAAACAAACCCTCTAGATGATAATTTGTTTCTTCCTCTCAAGTTGACCTATATCATAGACTACTGAATACCTTCACACTAATTGGTCAGCCAGGATATTCAGTACTGTATTGTCTCAGCTTGACAGTGAAAATGTCATGTACTGTAAAATCCAAACATAGCGAACATTAAGATTGTCATACTGTGTGTATCTATTGCTGGCCCTTTGTGAAACTGAGACAAATGTGTGCTGAGGGAGAAGAGGAAGGATGTCAGAGAAAGTTCTAAAAATATCTGCATAAGAATTTCAGCTCTTCACTGTGCTTTGTATTATCAAAGATATAGCTGCAATCACCCCCTTTCCCAACTCCCTGCATAAGGGAATTTAATTAATCTCTTTCAATTAATCAGTACCTTCTAGAAATGATTTAATGGCGATGCATTGTGAAGGTATTGGCACCCAACTGGATTCAGAGTCATGAAAGAACAAGACAAATCACAGTATAGCAAAACAAGATTTTTAGGTTTCTTTGGTGAAACAAAAGTAGATATAAAAGTTACAAAGATTTTAGATTTTCATTCACAAAAAAAAACCAGACATTCACATTATACACTATACAAGTTATAATATAAATATAGGAAAGTATTATGTGCATTGTAATGGAAGAGAAAAGAAAACATACAGGTCAACACTGGTCGTATTGCCTTCTAGAACACCCAAAGGTGTGATTACATTGACTGCAGCAGCCAGTGGGAGTTCCTTAAAGACGATGTATCATTGTAGCCACTGTACCTTCTTGTAAGCCATGGCAGGTGTACATGAATGAGAGGTCATCTGTTTGAATTACTGTCCTACTTCAACTTTGCATTTGTTCTCTATTCTTCTCACAGTCTTTGTACCCTAAAGGAGCGGAAGATCCCATTGCCTTCTTTACATTACAGGGTGATTTTTTTTAAAGGTTACATTTAGTGGGTGATGTTTCTAAGTCACCTTCAGCAGTTAACTACCCAGATTAAAGGGAGTGGACTGAAAGGGGAAGGATAAGGTAGGGAGTCCTATGCTGACTCCATCTAACATGAAGAATTGCCTATGCTATTTCCGAGTATACTCTTCTTGCCTAGACTGGGACAATACCATCTTCTGTAAGCTATACACATTTTTCACTCTTTTCATAATAAACAAATGATGCACTTTATTTGTCACATTATTTTGTCAGGGACAAAGCACGTACATTACACGGAACCAAACAGGATGAGGGAAAATGTGGGGACTAACACTGAAAAGTAACCACTAAACTAGGTCAATTTTCTGATCATGGGGGAAAATAACATCCAATAAATTAAATCCGTATGGCTTACTTCATTTATTTATGTATGTGTCACAGCTGCAGCATTCATACATAAACATTCATAACTTTATAAAAGATTAAAAATGGTTATATATACAAAATTATTTTCTCTGTGTGTGTATCATTGTTGCTGTTGTTGTTGCTATCGTTTTTAACCTTAAAAAAAAAAAGCCTCAGGTCTATATCCATTTGAAATGCAGAAATCGGTAACTGAAAACTAGTTAGCGTTGTGAAAACCATTAGAAAGTGAACCTGGTTGAGTTAATAATTAGCACTTTGACCCCTAAAGATGCTCTTGGCCATAGGAAAGTCCTTTCTGTAATCCTTTCTTGTTGAGTAATGAAGATAGAATGCAGTCCAAAAATGTTCCATGTTGCAGTCCAAAAATGTTCCATGTTGCAGTCCCTAGTTGAGCCTTGATTCCTCTTCACGTGCTACTGTCCCTAGCTTCATAGGGAAGCAGGCTGCACCCATGGCAGAGAGTGGTGCAGCGTCCTACAGGCTTGCTTAGCTGTGTCCAGTAAGAGCCATTCTCAGGCTTGTTGACATATACAGAGTAATTGAAACCATTTCCAGCCTAAACAAACTACATAAAAGCAGCTGAGTCAATGATTAAAGACCTCTGAGGCCATATAATCATCATTAAATATGCCTGAACTTAGTGTGACTTTTCATTTTATATACAAGATTAAAAACAACATTAAATCATCTTATTTACATTGTCATTGGTGCTGAAATTGAGCTGTTTAAATAGTACAGTAGGCTGGTATACATTATAAAATGGTCCCCACTGGAGGCATATAGAAAACTAAAGAAATTGAATAGGCTGGAAATAGCTTTTTTTTTCCTTACCTCATTTTTCTTTTTTCCCTTTTTTCAAACTTTCCTGTTAAATTCCAATACTTTCATTTGAAATGTTTTGTGAGCACCATGGCCCAAAGTTACTGGATGCTGATCCAAAATTTCAGAACAATCTGATAATACTTCTAAAAGTGATAGGAAAGGCACAGTAAGTTAGGACTTTGGCTGAAATGATGAAAATCCATGTTCACCATTTGAGGGATCAGCGCCTTGAGTCCTGCCACCTCCTGCTCCAGCGATGATAGTGTTTCGGTGAATTTATCGAATTGTCCTTGGTTGATGAGGAATTTTTTAAATGTTTCTTAGAATAAGTCCTTTGGTATGTGGATGCTATATGAAAGGAAAAAAAGAAAGAGAACATAACAATATTACTTGCTCCGTACCTGAAACTACCGATACCGTAGGTGGAATATTGTGGGTGGTTAATAGTTGTTAAAGCAGGGCTGTCCGTTCTTTCTAAATGACCACTTACGGTTCTGGCAGGTAATTTTAGGCAAAGCCCATCTTCCATTTCCTAGACACCGGATAGTTGGAAGGTGGCGTTGAATGAAACCATCTTTGCAGTGGTATCTAATCAGAGAGTTGATTTCATAACGAGGTTTCATCTTTCCAAAGGTCTTGGCATTTTCTACAACAGGGGGTTGGCCGCAAGCAACTAAAGAAAAATAAGAGTCATTTTCAAATAAATCCTAAATACTATACTTCATATGATTTAATCTCAGGATTTAAGGCATCAAATCGAATCATCTGTAACTAAAGGAACCATTTAGAATTCAGAAATCTATGCCACAAGACTAGTTTGAATCGAATTATAAAATTTTTCATTCTGTTTTTGTTATGAGACCATAGGGCTCCATGTTAATATAAGTTCATTTCATCCTCTAGGTAGGAATACTCTGAAAACATTTCCAGTAAACAAGTATTGGTCCTGTACTTATATTGTAGACTGTTCCTAATGGAAGAGGAGGGAAAAAAATGGCAGAGGTCAACATACTGCTGCCCTACAGAACAACCAAAGGTGGGATTCCACAAACTCATATTTGTGCAGTGCTGGAGGATTTCCAGAGCACTTTTCTCACAACTACCTTGTGACCTAGGTAGGGCCAGTATTTTCACTTCCATATTTTAAATGAGGAAATGGAGATTCAGGTATGCTCACATGGATAGGATTTGAACCCTGCTCTCTTGATTCCAGGCCCAGTAGTTTTTCCACTACACTACGATACCACATTTCTGAGCAGAGCTACTGTTTTTCTTGACAGACCACAGAAGTTTTCCTTTAAAGAGTAATCAGTTCCAGGCTAATCACTGTCTCTCATCATCGTCAAAGACAGAAAGTTCCTTATTTAATACCCACTTCCATATGATACTAGACAAAGAAGTTTCCACTGTAACAGCCCTCACCCTCAAGGAACTTAGAATATAAAACAAGCCCACAGCTTCACAATCTGGAAGCCCTCTTTCATTTCTGATCAATATCCTTTCTGCTCCAACTTAATTCCCCATTTCCTCTTGTTCTGTCCTTAGTGGAGAGAGTGAACACGGGTCATCATAATAAATAGCAATCCCCAAACGAAGAGTTTTCAACTTCTGAGCCAACCAAAAGGAAAAAAAGTGGACAGGGAAGCCTATAAACATTGGTTATGATTTCTCTTTTTTCCTAGGAAATTCTACCCACCACCATCCTATATTAGCCAATACTAGCACACAACAAAGAACCCTTATTAATTTGAAACTCAAGGGACTGGAAAAGAAAAACAAAATAAAACAATTATTAAACTAACAGGATTTGTATTATCCAGTGAAAACTAATTGAACACTTAGCTTGAAAATAAGTTTAAGTACTTTTGAATTAACTTTTGTTAAATTAATCAGGTTTTCCTGTTGTTGTTCAGTCATTCAGTTACGTCCAATTCTTTGTGCCCCTGTATGGGGTTTTCTTGGCAAAGATACTCGAGTGGTTTGTCATTTCCTTCTCCAGTGGATTAAGGCAAACAAGGGTAAACAACTTGCCCAGGGTCACACAGTTAGTGAGTGTCTGAGGCTGGACTCTGAACTCAGGTCTTCCTGACTCCAAGCCCAAAAGTTAATTTACTACTCTCTACTATCTCTACACACATACATATACACATATATACACATACACAAATGGACGTAGCCCTGCATAGCTGCTGATGAGGAGTATAATTTTTCCCAGTTGGAAGGAGGTACTGAAGGATCATAGGATATGAGAATTAAGGGTAGCTTTGACAAGAACTTTGGAATACCAGAGGGAAGGGATGGAAGCTAGCTACGGCTTGTAAGGGAAGAGTGCTACTACCCTGAACTGAGTGATAAACATGAGAAGGTGGAGCTTTGTCTGGCTTGTTGTTGCACTTAAGGAGTGATTTGCCTCACCACTGCCTGGAGAACTGGCATCTCTTGCCATTTTGCTGTTGTTTAGTCATTTTCACTCGTGTCTGACTCTTTGTGACCCCATTTGGGGTTTTCTTGGCAAAGATACTGGAGTGATTTGCCATTTCCTTCTCCAGCTCATTTCAAAGATGAGGAAACTGAGGCAGACAGGGTTAAGTGACTTGCCCAGGGTCACACAGTTGGTAAGCTTCTGAGGCCAGATTCAAACCCAGGAAGATGAGTCGTCCTGATTCCAGGCCCAGCATTCTATCCACTATGTCACAGAGCTGCCCCTTGCCATTAAATCTTATTTGTTACCTGTACTTTCATAATGTGTCTATCTCCAGACAAAAATAGCTTATTTTCATTGCACTTTGATTGAACGTTTGCTAGAAATGAGTCTATCAAACAAAGAAGAGAGAACAAGTGAAAAGGAGTAAATTTCCTCAGTCCCAGTGTGGCAGTGGTTCCCTTGTATTCACTTCTGGCTTCTACAACAGCCCCTAACACCTCCCTTCCCTAAAGGGACACACATATACATACACACCTATACATATACATGGTATAAATTGCTTAGCAAAAAAGTGAGTAGAAGAACAATTTATCAGAAAGGAAAGCCTTGTAACACTTTCTTATCTGCTGCATGAAACTTCTAATGGAAGCTTGAACAACAGAAGTCCAAGCATCAAAGTAGCTGTATCCTTGCCCTCCTCAATTGCATAATCACTGCACTACAATATTCGGAAGGAATATCTAGCTGCCATATTTGTATGACAGACTAAAACTGTACTTAACTAAAAAGTTTAGTTGGTCTAATTTTTTCCATCCTTCATAGAAGGGCTAAGACTAATTCTAGTCCCACCATGATAAAAACCACAATGATAGCAAGTTTAATGAATGCTTTACAATATGCTCCCAAAGGTTTTTACGAAAAATAAATATGGTTGGGCAGCATTTGTATTATGGATTCAGAATAAACTTGAGAATTAAAGAAGCCAGAGTGACAAATGAGTTTAGAAGTAAGCTCTGCCCAAGTATCAGAAGAGTGAAGTAAAGGATATGAGGATGGAGTAGTTTCCCAGCTATTATGCAATTTTTGTGGGGCCCTGAAAAAGTGGTTAATTTTCTCTCCAGATGCATGACAATTCAAATACACATTAATTCAAAATATATATTTTTTTCATGTTGAGAGAATTACCTGTTCCTTTCTTGCATGTATAAGTGAGATGGTAATTGCACGGGACATCATTCCACTGACCATTCTCATGCCAAATTATTACTACACAGTCTTCTCCAGAAGAAAAAAAGCTGTCTGGCTGATTTGGCCTCCAATTCTCATATTGCTGTAAAAGTAGAGAAAAAAAGTGACTTAACAGCCTAAGGATACTTAACTCTTTTAAGAAACTTGAACACATCTGAAATAGAATGTATTTATACATTCAATAGAACATGTAAGAGTAATTGCTTATATTTCTGTAGCACTTTGTGACTACAATATGTTTTCATGTACATTTGTTCATCAGATCCTTACAATAACCCTACAGGAAAAATGGTACAAGAATTATTAAACCCACTTCACAGATGTTAAAGTTGAGGCTCAGAGGAGTTAAAAGATTTGCCCTAGATCACATAGCTGGTAGGTAGCAGAGTCAGGGCTGGAACCCACTTCTTCTGATGTCAAGTCCAGCACTGTTTCCACTACGTCATGCTGCCTCTAACGGCCTATTCATCATAAATTGATGTAGGAGTGTTGAAGAAAAAGAGCTTTGGATATTTAATGGAAAATATACATAATATCCCCCAAATTGCCTGTTCACCAAGTTTATGTGCTCCTGTAATAAAATTCCTTGTCTTTAGGGATATTTGTTATTATATGTGGAATTTCTTTAGAATCTATAATTATTGCTGCTCATGCACATGTTATGTCTCGTTTCCTGGAGACCTGGTTGAAGTTGATTCCCAGTTGCCTGAAAGTGCCATGTTCAATCTTTTCTCACCTTTTGATTTTAACTCAGAATATTTTTGATTCTTGTTCTTCTAGAAGCATTATAGAGCCATACGCCATTTGTTTTTATGGGAAGCATTGCTGATAGACATATGAATTCAGTTTAATTTTCTGTATGCCTTCATCAAAGGAAGGTTGTTGCATTGATGTTACAAAAGGAAGTTTCACTAACAAGTAACCACTATAAATGATGCAGTAATCATCAATTTTAAGAAAAATTGGCAATGATCAGTGCATCCAAGTGAAAATCTTGATTCTGGCTGTTGACATGATGCCACACATCTTGATGACAACTGAAAAATTCAATAATTCATCCAGCTTTTTATCTATATAATACCAAACATTTGGCCACTAATAAATATCCTAAAGTCAATTTTTTTTACCTTTCAATTTGATGGTCAGCATTGTATACCACAGCTTCCATACAACTTAAAAGCATGATTCCTTTATATTTAAATTGTATTTATTTGTATTACATTTTTAGTTCTGAACTGTTTCTCTCCCTCCCTCCCTACCCTGCACTATAGAAAGTCACCATTTGACACAGATAGATATAGATATAGAGAGAGAAGTATAAAAGATAATATAAGTAAATATTTATATATAAATGGAAGTATGCATAGTATAGTATAGTATGGCTTGACATATATATGTATACATATGTAAAATCATACCAAATAGTTCTATTTATCAGTACTCCTTTATAATGCAAGAGGTGTGGTCACTTAGGTGACCTGGTTTCTTGTTGCTGCTCTGCAAGTAACTAATTGTATGACCTTAGACAAAGACCGTTTCTCTCTCCTTCAAGTTTCTTGCTTTAAACAGAAGGATGCTTGATTTGATTGAAATGTCCTCAGAGATCTATTCCCAGCTCTAAAATTCTGATTCAGTGCAAGTTTATACACACATTTATTTTTGGTCTGAAAATGTGATATCATTAGTGTAGAGAATTGCCAGGAAGGAAACTCCCTCTTGAGAGTCTGAGAGGTGCCAAGGGACACTGAGAGTTAAGTGACTTGCTCAGTATCACAATCATTATTTGTCAAAAATAGAATTCAAACCCAGGTCTTCCTGACTTTGAGGCCGGTTCTATATCCATACCACCATGCTGCCTTTCTCACATATACATAAGTTATAAGAAAATATGAATTTTGGTTTAATTTTCTTTGTGCCTTCATCAAAGGAAGGTTGTTGCATTGGACACTCAACTCACCCAAATTATTTATAAAATGGGATACAGAGAAAGGCTTACTTTTTTGATAACCATCCTTGCCTACCACCTCATACCATGTTAGTAATGCTTTTGCTTTCTTATATAAACACTATCCATGTGTGTCAATGTGTGGTTTAGACTAAATACTGAATCAAAGGCAACTGTCAGCTTAAAAATGTCACTCTTTGAAAATGATGAATGCATAAATACTATTTGGATTTTTTAAAAAGTTATGTAATTGGTTGTGTTAGTGAGAGCAGACTGACTCTTTAAGGGAAAAGATTGGATCAGAATTCAAAAAATATTGGCTCCTGTGACTTCTTTTGCTAATATGCCCAATTTGCATCACAAAACAAGTCGGCCATTTGAAATTGCTTATTACTCCTCTTAGAGGAATAAGGAACTCAAGGTATTCAGGAACTCATCCCCTACCACTGCCTCCCAAAAGACTGTGCATCTTTCTTTCTGTCTTTCTGTCTCTCTCCTCTTCTCTCTTCTTCTCTCCTCTCTCCTTTGTTTTTAATGCAGCAAAAGAACTTCACTCAAATCATACAGTCAAGCCAGAGACAAGTGATTCCCAATATTGTGAAGACAGCCTTCAAAGGATTATATAAATGTACAGAAGCAAGAAGGAATATCTTTAGAAGCCCAGGTTTGGGCAATTATGCCAGGAACAAAGAGGGTTTTGTTCTCCTCTGTAGGCAGTCCTTCCACTCCATCCTCCCCACTTCCCCAAGGCCTGGGAATATTTAAGCCTAGCATCACACTACCACTACAGAACTCTGTTGTCCCCTCCCTCTCACTCCTTGTAATGGCAGATGTTAGGGAACCCCTGTCTTACCTCCCAGACTGCCACAAAGAAAGGACCAAGAGAAGTAATCTCTGATCAGCATCTTTTCATTCAGCAGAAACCAATGTTCACATTAACCTTAGTTACCTTTTAATTCTATTTTCTTTTGCTGTGCTTACCCTTCTTCCCTCAATCCCAACCACAACCCTCAGCCTTTGCTTTTAGTTTTTCTCCTTTAAAAAAAGTTGAGAAAAATAATGACAAATATTTTAAAGGTAGGGAAAACTATATATAACTATTTCCTGGTATGTTACCATCTTATCATTAGCAAAAGAAGTTAGAGCAATATAAAAGTAAAGACCAAATCAGAACGAGTTTATATAAAGACTGAGTATAAAACCCATTATTAATCCATTCTCTGGTCAAAGACTTATCATTCCCACAATATTTATATTTTATTTGAAAACTCAAAGCCTATTGCAGACTAGTGAATTACTTTTTAAGTTGAGCACTTCTCTATCAGCATAAAACTACCTCCTAGTGGACTTTGTATACACACTCTAGAAGAAATGAACCACAAAATCTTGGGTTTTTCCTCCCTGATCATCGATGAAACTATTAGGAAGACTACAGCTATATATATACATATACATACACACATACATATACATATACATATATATGTATATATATGTACATATATATGTATATATATATATACACACACACAGATACACACACACACACACACACACATTTCCCTTATGACCTTTTCTTAGAACATGCACTCAGTGGATGTGGCATCTAGTTATCAAACTCAATTAACTGTCATGTTTTGGGCAGAATAAATTTCCTATCAATCTTGAACCACAAAGATCTCATTTTCATGGTAAAATGAACTGAGTCACATCACTCCTCCATTGCTTGATTTTCAAGAATAAAGCAGGTCCAGTTTAAGCCTCTGGCTAAAGATTTAATAGCCTTTGGTGGGAATTGTTCTTGGCACTGAGAGCTGATTTAAAACTTGTGTTCTGGGTTGTTATTTAACAGAACTGTGGACTAGTGGTGCAAGACCAAATCTCAGCTTTGTGGTTTTTACAAGAATGCCTGATATCCACAGGCATGTCACACTGTTGTTGCTTCCTATCACATAGCAACATCACTGCACGGATTTATCTTGGCTAGGTTGCTCTGACTTTTCTCAGCAGTACTGCCAAACTTGGAGCCTTGGAAGTCCTGGGTTTCTAAGCAAATGAGTGCCTTTGTCTCCACCCAATTAATGCTTCATTAATGCTACTTATGAAGAGAATATATATCTACATATAATATATACATGTATATATATATATATATATGTAATATTACAGTGTGTCTTAGAATCATAGAACCTATTTTTATGATTAAAATGAGTCTACTGCTAAAATTCTGCCCTGATGGTATGCTAGTAGTCTTGAGCTCTAAAAGACTGTACTAGCATTATGGAATCTCTGAAAGAATCTACCAAATTAAGAGGTCTAGGATAGAATGGATGACATGCCTATTGTATGAAGATGAGAGAAGCTTATCACAGGGAAGGGTATAGGCAATCTTTGGCCATGGCATTAAACCATCTGCCTCAGCATGGAAGGATTATGATCTATCTCAGTGAAGGAAGAACCCACACAAATTGAAACATGACCATTTATGTATACAAGTACCAAAATAAAATTAATTCACATCAGAAACTAGACTAAAATAGGGATCATAAAATCTGTACCACCTACAACACAGAGTTTGTTTGAGGAAAGAACCAATGATCATTGTCTGAGCCAGCACACTAACTCATTATCTACAAATTACATTATTTTTGCCCTTTGTTTCAAGGAACATGTGTTTCTTGGACTGAGTAGACCAGAACTCCTCCACCACCTTGTTGTATTTGTCTCTTCCCTTGGTAGAGAAATGATTGACTGGAGACAATCAGCAGTTCTCCAAGAAGAATCTCTACTCCCATGGGAACAAAGCCAAAAGTTTTCTCCAGAGGGTATTATATGGATCCACTCCCTCTTCTCAAGCTTCATGTACGTGTTCATAATAATTCCAAAGCATTTATACATGCTGTATGTTGTGGGGTGTAGAGTCCTGATAAAAGTAGCAATGGTCATTCCTTCTGTTTAACCAGGTGCTTGCTGGCCCTGCCTGGTGTATATAAGGCAACTCAAGCTTCTCCTCCCAAAGGGAAAGTGAAGACTAGATTTATAATAATATGTACAAAATGAAACCTAAAATATACAGTTAATTCTGTTATCTGTTTTGGTCAGAGATGGAGGAAAGAATGTTCCCTTTAATCCCAAAT